CTGCAAGTAGTGATCAAGTAACTAACAAAAGAATCACTTCATCAATCAGTTCTTTACAGGATGAGAGACCCATTCAAGCAACCCTAAACAACTTGAAGAAAAAAACTGCACTATATATAAATATATAAAGAACATAAAACCCCTTCTCCATTTTGCATTGTGCTCAATTCTGACAATGAAAAGAAGTGCATTGCAGGGGCTGAAGCAGATTAGCCACCTGATGTTCTTAGGTTTGGAGTTTTCTTAAAGAGAGGGATAGAATACAAAAGCCCAGCACCAACAAATTCCTAGATGAAAAAAGCTAACAACGTGATATTTTTAAACAAACAAATAAGGGCAATGGGAAATAGGGAAAAGCTCTTAAAACTTCAGTGATATAAATCCATGTAAGGAAGAGATTAAGGTACTTGAAAATAATGGAATTTAAGTATGGAATTTGGCACTTACTAAAGTGAGAGAGGAGAAACCGAACCAAGAACCTACTAAAATCGTATATAATACTCTTATATTTTAGTTTAAATGAAAGTCAATTCATATTTAATTTTTTTGAGTTAAAAATTACATTTCTAAAAGTAGAAATCATATCTGAGATTTCCTAATGTGAGGCCTTTCTAAACCAAATGTCTTCATTACCAGTTTAATAGAACAGCTCTATTTAGTAACAGAAACCTCGAATAGCTCCAAAGTCTAGAAAACTAACAAAAATATCTTATCCAAAGCAGCAAATTTATTTGAAAATTATAAAGCACAATGGCATGAGATAAAATTATCAAAGTATTCTTAACCAGGATAACCATTTGATTATCTAATAAGGAAAACCTTAGCAAGAGCTACAAAAATTTCAATACCTTCTGAGACAGTAATATCTCTGTTACATATACATGAAGATGTTCATTGTAGCATTATCAGCAATAGCAAAAATAAGAGCTAGTGATTTAATCACTCAGTAGAAATGAATATTTACATTTATAAGTGTGATAAAATGAGAGTATTTTTGCTATCTACTAAATACAGTATATAACGAATAACATGTTTATTATAATTTAAAGCATATAAAATATGTAAGCACATATAAGGAAAAAATGCGATTGTATAACAGTGGAACTATGGGCAATACAAATGCAATACAAATTCTTTTCAAATTTTCTTTGATGTTTTATGGTGATCTTTTCACTTAAAAGTATCAAGAGATGTATAACTTACATAACTTACACTCTGTGAAAGAACTCATAATATTATTAATATTAAACTATCAGCAGTTTTGATTATTAAATAGTTCAAAATAGCTAATGCTTAGTCATAAATTTTTAACATGTATCATTTCATTGGAAACAAATCTAATTCAAGAACTGAAAACCAAATTTTGGTGGGGATTAGTACTGGATACTATTCATTAATTACCGGCTAAGTTAAAATGTTAAGCAAAGAGTTCATTTTTTATAAATCAGTACTTCCTAAATATTGTCTAAATATTTCATTTGTATTTGGTAGAGAAAAGGAATTTTAAATGAAAAATATTTACTATTAGATCTTAATCATTTTATATGATCAGAGTCATAAGACTTACCTAATTTAGTTTCTTGTTCCCAGGCTTGTTCAATAGTGTGAAGTTTTTCCTTGGTAATCTCCAGTTCTTTATTTATAGCCTCTATTTGTTCTTTTAAGGATATATTTTCACACTGAATAACATCATTAAGAAACTACATTGTAATTTAAACCAATAACACAAAGTGATATTCTCTTAACTTTATGTAATAACTTTGAAAACTTACAATCTAGTTTTTTTTACAAAATTAGAATTTCTTCCATATGTATACACATATACATATATATACACATATGGTAAGATATTATTTTAAAATAATCATCAAAATACTGTGTTTCTAACATGTGGCCCTCAACTTTTGAGTATTAGCTTCTACCATTAAAGTTGTACATTCATTTTGGCAAGCTCGTTTTACAACCTTCACAAACTGGTGCTTACTTACTTCCTTCAATTAGTTACTGAGCATCCCTAACATGCTGTAAGTGACAGATACTAAATGTTTATAGTGAAAGAAACATATAAAATTCTGGCTTTCAAAATTCTGACCATTTAGTGTCTGTGTGCATGTGTGTGTGGCAGAAGTTGGGGAGGGTGTGGAAGGCAGCAGATAATAAACAGGTAAGCAAACAAAAAATTCATTAAAAATCTCAACATCTAGAGAGAAAAACACAGGGTACTGAGCCAAGGAACGATAAATGGGTGCATATTTAAATAGAGTAGTTGAAGAGGGTCTTAAGCACCTAAGCAGTAATATTTAAGCTGAAGTGCGAGGTCTGAAAAGGAGCCAGTCTTGACAAGAAATCAGCCATGGAAAGATTTGATGTATTTACTGGTCAATCCAGATGCTCTAAAAGCAAAACAGGGTTTTGGAATATTAGACAACCTCAGAAGAGAAAAGGTCTAAAGCAGGAAAAGATGTGGGGTGTTAGAGGACTTGAGTAGAGTAAGCAAAAGTAAGAGTGAAGAGTGGTTTAAGATAAAGTTGGAGAGGCGATCAGGGGCCATAGCAAGCAGGACATGGTATGCCAAGATAAGAAACAAGAATTTAACAGAATAATAGGAAATAATTTGAGGATTTTAAGGAAGTAGCTTTAAACAATCATTTCGCCTGTGATGTGGAGAATAAATAAAGAAGTAAATAAAAAAATCAGGGAAACTAGTCAGAGAGACATTGTAGAAGTCCAGATTAAGTGACGATGCTGGTTAGGACAAGGGTGGTATCAGTGAGGATGGAGAAAAGAGGACACATAGGAATTACATTTGGGAAATCAATATGGTAGGGGAAAGGAATGAATAAAGAATAACTGTAAGGTAGCTGCCTTGACTATCTGGGTAGATAAGAGCAGCATATATTGAAATAAGAACAATGATGAGAGAAACAGAAATCAGGAGTTCATTGTAGATATGTTAAATTTGAGATCCCCTTGAAACACATAAGTTGTATAGTAGGTAATTCTGTACAGTGGAATAGAAGAGCTGTGAGAAAAAGTTAGGCTAAAGACATAAATGTAAGAGTTAGCAACATAAATGTAATATTTTAAGTTCCTTTATTTTTTCTTTCAACAAATAGAATGTTTACTACATGCCAGGTACTCTACGCAATGGATTTCAATGGTAAATAAATTCCATCCTAGAACTTGTATTTTAGTGGAATAGCTGGAAAATAAGCCAATATATATAATACAATGTCAGGTAATGTGTTATGAAGAATAATAAAAACAGGGTAATGAGATTAAAAAGAGAGGATGCTATGATGAAATACGCAAAATAAGGGACTAAAATGAGATATTTTTCTGGTAAAGTACATAATTACAGCCAATTTTAGATACTGTGAATACACGGAGAGAAAAAAAAGAGGGCTGAGGATGTTTTAAATAACTTTTAACCCATTTTTTTCTTCCTTCCATCCTCTTTCACAGGATAACCCTAATCTTGCTCCAAATCCCATTTTCTCACACCTACCCCAGTATTTTACTCCCTCACTTATTACCACTCTCATCTCTAATATTTATCACTCTCTCCTTATTAGTTCTAAATTTTCTTTCCCTCTTCCCTGAAATTTCATTGTTCGTATTTATTACAAAAAAACCCCATAAAACCAAACAAATCCCCTTCTTGATTCTACCTCAGTCAGATAATTTCTTATTTCTTCTATTAAATTTCCAATTTTTCTATTGTTTTATTATCCATCAGTTTTTGTATTTCCATATCATCCACTCTGTTCTTTATATTTTGAAATCTGATTTTCATCACCTCTATTCTCATGAAACTTTAAGTCTCAAAAAGTATCAATGATTTCCTAATCACCACATTTGACGACCTCTGCGCTGTGACTCCGCACCATTAATCACTCTTAGGTCAACAAATCCTAGCTCAAACTCTGTGCTAAACAGGAGATGGTAAACACACAAAAATAAGTTAAATAGAGTTCCCCATATTCTCGTAAGGGAGGCAGACATAGAAACACATACAATATGAGGTAATATAAATATGTACTACGTACAAAACCACATATAAGATATAGAACTAGTATAGACAGAGGAGTGACTTTATTCCATAAAGATCCTTCAGGAAAAAGGGTAATGTCTGAATAAAGTTTTGAAATATGAATAGAAATTCACTAAGCATATAAACTAAAAGAGGGAAACAGTTTTCTAGACAAGGGAAACAGCATGTTCAAAAGAACATATGTAAGAAAGAACACTGTGCTGCAGAAAACTGGTAGCTCAGTTTCTAAAACATAAATTGCAAAACTCCTTAGGACATGAGTTAAGTAGAAGAATAATTAGAAAAGGAGCTTGATTTTTACCCTTCAGGTGATTTGGCAGTTTTTTAATAAGTTTTAAGGAAGGGAGTGACATGGTCAGATTCATGTTTAGAATGATCATTCTAGTAGCAGTAAAGAGGATGTAAAACTCCAGATAGAGATATGAGTAATCCCTGCCACAATAAAGATAATAAAAAATAAAACTAACACATTGCCAATAGGGATATATTCCTAGAACAGATGTTTAGAATTATAACTGCAATGCAGAAAGTACAGGAGAGAAAGAGATACAACGAACAGGCCTCTTCCTTGGCTTACGGGTCTGTGATAAAGAGTGTAGAAAATAGCCTTGAACATACTGAGTTTGAGGTAGCTGTCAATCAGCCTAATAGAAAATTCCTTGAAAATGGTGTCTGTTGACAGTTTAAAAGAAAAAAAGGACCACAAATTTTTTGACATTCCTTACATTGAGAGGTGGGGGCTATGTTCTCCTTCATTATCTTGGCAGCTTGTGCCTGCTTTAAGCAATGGAAAACAGCAATGGATAACACTATGTCACTTTGAAAGCTAAACCATATAAGGTATCACGTTTCCACCTTTTTCGTTAGAGCACTAGTGCTACAGTCCCGAGTAGTCATGTATTCATAAGAAGTTCAACTACTCTTAGATTACCATGCTGTGAGGAAGCTCATGTGTATAAAAAAGACACATGTAGATACTCTAGTACTAAACAATCTCAGCTGAGAATCAGCCTTAGTGTCATACCAGCCCAGATGCCAGATAAGTGAGTGAAGAGAAGCTTCCAGATGATTCTAGTTGCCACTGATGAGTCACCCTTACTTTCTCAAGTCTTCCCAGCTGAGGGATGAGGCCCTACAGAGCAGACAAGCCATTCTCACTCTGCGCTATCTGAATACTGGCCCATAGAATCTATGAGCAGAATAAAAACGGTTGTTTTACACACTAAGTTTTCAGGGTTGTTTTGTTGCACTGCAATAACTAGGACAGAGGCATTTAACACATTTTGTTGAACTGAGGTAATTAACTTAGTATATAAATACATATATAAAAAGACAAAGATTAATTATAACATATCAAATTTTTTTAAATTTTGAGGAAAGATAAAAAATATCCTTTTGGAAAATGATAAAATAGAGTTAAAAATTACTCAATGATATGTTATCTACAAGAAATGTCTTGCCTAGGATTTTCTAATGCTAGAGAGGATAGGACAGAGGACATGGAGAATGGGGAAAAAAGAAAATAAATTACTACCACACCTAAACATACAGAATTTTCTATAAAAATTAACATAATCATCTCTCTCTGGCAAAAGTAAAAAAGTAAACTGATCATGATTACTTCTAGATAGTATTAATAAATAATGACTCAATTTTGTAGGAGTCATTGAAAACTACAGAATGTTTTAATTTATTCAACGTATCTCTCTAAGCAAGCAAAGGCTTTTTTGAGCTAAGAGAATTAGATCTCATTCCACTCTTTTGAGAGGATCTTAAAAGACAATAAGGCAAAGAACATAAGTCCCTATTTCTGATGAGGAAGGTGAACAAATCAGCAGCTTGGTTTGCCTATAATAAAAGGCATGGAGGTCAAGTGGCTATAAGAGAACTATAAAGTCCATATTCACAGTTTAAATGAAATTTATGATACCCCACCCTACTTTTTTATATCTCTAAAATAAGAAAGGACGGAGACTTGTAGAGCTCATCCATGGTCCAGGAAGAGCCATAAATGTCATCCACTTTTGGCTACATCAATCCTAAAGAACAGAATTCAGGAACCATGAGAGAACAGTTTGCTCTGACAACAGGGGTAAGAGAAAGGGATGGGTATTTAATGGATACTTACTCCTCCTTTGATTACAATACCCTATCTGTTTCATGCTCCTTTTTCTTTTTTAACACACTGACTGCCATGTGAGTTGTATTTAACTCAGGCTAGTTTTGAGCCTGGAGCTTCATGAAGCAAAACCCTGCAGTTGGTTCCTGAAAGTCTTACTTGTTGATGTTCTTATTGTTACAATTAATATGGACAATTTAATTCTAAAAACACGGATTGCCTTGCATATAACTCATGCACAGAAAACAATAAAAAGAAACAAATTAGAAAAGATCGTTTTGTTTTAGTGAAACACCGTGGCCCCAGGGAAAAAAAATTTTTTTTCTACTGTGGCAGTCAATATGTGAAGTGCGTGGTTGAAAAGGTTCGATTCAGCTAAATCATGCAAGAGAGCTGAGGATGACCTGAATGAAGTCCTCTGGAAGTCATTCTGCAACTATAAATAGATATGTTATAAATGTGTGTGTGTGTGTGTCTGTGTGTTGATATTCAGGAACAAAATATTTAGAATAAAATTGTTACCTATGAATTACATCTCTGTTAAATTTACTTAGAGACAAACTTTATATTAAAATCTGAAAATTCCCCCAAAACACAAAGACATCATCAAAAATGGCTTAAATATCACAAAGTTCAAGGATCACACAAACGTACCTCTAGGTGTTCTAAGTTATCTGTTCTTTGAACAAGCATATTATCTTTTTGCAAGATATCCCTGTATTTAGCAGTCAGTTCATTGTATTGTTTATTGGCCAGTTCTAGTTCAGACAAAGAGACACTGTTATCTACAACTTTTTGGAGAGCTGCAATCTTGAAAATGGCCATTTCCTATGTAAATAAAGATACACTGAGTTATGTTTGCGTATTTTTTGGGAAACAGTAGCCACTTTTGAGAAGTATAACACAAGATAATATAACTAAAAGCAAAAGAAATTTTAAAATCATTTAGAAAATACATGATTTCCCATGAGTAAAAATATGCAAGAATATTAATTTCTTCCATATAATAAATGATGGTATTTTGAAATTTTTAATCACAGTAAAAATAAAAATAAAGTAAATCCTCTTATAACTCCTGTCATAGTATAATAAAATTCAATTAATTTGAGAAAGTATAATAAACAGCAGCAAGATAATATATCATTCAGAATGTATCTCTGGATGGCTCTTCTAAATTTTTTAAGATCAAAAAACAACTTTTGATAGTTGGATGGCAAAATTAGCATTATGATAAGTAACCTTTATAGTTAGTTATTTCTGCTTATTATAAGTTAGACAGATTAGCTTTGTATCAAAAGAAAACCTTGTTCACATAAAGAAAACATTATTTAAGGGAAAAAAACTTCCTATCATAGTTCTCTATAATAAATAACGTCAAGGACTTTCAGTTATTTGCTTCATGTTCTATTCATCAGCTATACAGCTATTCGAAGATACTTTATTATTAACACCAAGAAGAAATGTTTGAACGTTTAGTTCTCTCCAGCAAACTGCTCTGTGATAAGCAAAAAAATTACATAGAAAAATACAGTGAAGAGTGTGATGGAAGCTGATTAAGAAGTGGTACAAAGGAATAACCAAATTTAGGAAGTGAGGAAGAACTTAGGGTTATAATTCATTCTGAAGTATAGTAATGATGGAAAAATATTTTTAATAGGGCTCCAGATCTCATTTTGACAGCTTTTCTTCTCCATCTAAAAAAGTATGCCCTATTCTACCTTACCCTTGAGATTCAGTTTTACTTTTGTGAGAGGAGAGAGGAGTAGATGCGGTTCTGTTTCCCATCCCTTAAAAATATCTTTTTCATGGCTCCAATTTTGTAAAAAAAATTAAAAAATCAAGTTGAACGAGCAGGTTGAAGAGAAAGAAAATTCCAGTTTTTGTTTTCCTTTCTATCTCAAATACTAACTGTATTTGTAAAACTCTAGATCCTAAAAAATCTAACACAAAAATAAAAACAAGAACATTTCTTACATCTCAAAATTTCCTTATTACATGTCAGAATAAAAATAGCTTCCATTTTACAACAGGTTTCTTGTTGCATCCACGATTCACCTTTAAGATCACCCCGAATATAAGTTTATCAGCATGACAATATCACCTATTACTATCTTTATAGTGGATGGTAAAGTTCTCAAGTTCATTTTAATTTTACTTTAAATTCTGTGTTCATATGATTCTGTCTAAATTTAGTCATGTAAAATGAACATTTAAATGCTCAAAAATAAGTTATAAGATGTAAAGCAAGGTGCAGAAGAGTGTACATATGATGTAACCTTTCCTGTCTTTATTTATGTTTGCAAAAAGATACATTAGAAGGATAATCAGTTATCTACACAGCGTGGGGCACAATAAGGTGAAAGGTACAAGGAAAGAAGATTTCTCTGATTAAATCTTTTGAATATGTAAATGTTTTATATATTCGAATTTATTAAAAAAGAAAACAATTAATGCCTACAATTGAAAAAATGGAAAATAAATGAGTTTAACTATACATCAAATATATAACATAACCACATGAAGAGAAAGATTATTTCAAGTAACTGTAAGATATGTTACTTTGCCTACACATCCTCAGTGAGATATATTCTAAAGAAAAAAAGACCTGTAAGGAAACCTTAAACTGTGTCTGTTAGCCTTGCTTTTGTTGTTATTGTTAACACCAACACAAATATTATTTTCAAATTAATGTATGCATATTGTAGGATAAAAAAAAATTTTTAAAGTTAATAACCAAGATTTTCCATGTAAGAAAAAAGAAATACAAGCACAAAATCGAACAACGTTAGCAAAAACCCCATACTATTTACTTACCCTATGTTAAATTTGAATTGGAAATAACAACATGAACTCATGGTTTAGATATATACATATTTTCCTAATTTGTCCACTGGAAGGGTCTAGTAGAAATGACACTCCAAGAGCAATGATGCCCAGTGGCCAGTTTTTGGTATAGAAATGCTTTCCCCCCTAAAAAAAAACTAGGGCTCTTTAGAGAAATGGCTTATTCCAAGTACAAACAGGAAATATATAAAGTAAGGCTAAGACATTTTGTTGTACCAGAAAACAAACCAAGCTTTGAAGCTTGGCTCAGAAACTAATGAATTTTTGTCAAAAGGATTTAAGAGCTAACTTTAAAGAACTCCCATTGGCCCAAGCTGAGACAAAACATTATGACTCTAATTAACTAAAACACACTGAATATTTAAAAATCTGTGAGTCTGTTATGATACTGGAAGAGAAAGCTGAGGGGAGAAAAAACAGGTAGAAGCAGATTACACCAACTGCGTATTCTGAAAACTAGTAATTAAAATGAAAGAATAAAGCATTTGTCTTGTCTTTTTAGTAGGAATTATACTTTAAGAACACCAAATAGCCTGAGCTAATGAGGAAAAGCTCTTTATTTTATAGAATGTCTGTTAATAAATGTAAAAACATAATATAACTAGAAAATTAGGATTTTTGCAACTCCTAGTGAAATAATTGAGTCAGGCAACAATTATCAGGGGATGCTAAAATCATTAGGAGGACTGAAGAACTCGTTAATTTTATGGTACCAAAATATCACCAAACAGTAACTAAATCACTTAATAATGGAGGTACGTGGCTGTCTTCTTTAACATAGTTATCAATCACGACACATGGAACAACCAGATACTCGTGAAGTGATGAAATATAAGGTACAAAGCATTACTTATGAATTATTCTGATCAAGTTTAATCTGGCTCTGACAAAGGCTTAAAACTAACTTTCAGTAAATGTAAGTGATAGAGGAACAAAATGACACACATGAAAAATCAGATAAATCTTCAAACATTTTTCCCAGAAAAAAACCAAGGGGATTCTATATTAAAAAGATTTATGACATGTAACACACAAATGCAATAAATACATGATCCTTGATTGGAAACCGAGGAAATGTGACATTAATCTGGATATTAGGTAATATTAGAGAATTACTGTCAATTTTGTTAGGTATGATCAAGTTATTGTGGTTACGTAGATAAAAAAAGACTTTAATTTTTTTTAGAGATGTACTCTAAAATATTTAGGGTAGAATTTTCTGCAATTTAAACATTCCTACAAAAAACAGATGAAGCAATTATGGCAAAATGTTAGTAAGTGGTATTAATCCAGGTGGTGGGTGTTAATGATTCTATCCTATCTTCTGCATATCTGAAAATTTTCATAGTCAAAAACAAAATAATACAAGAATCAGAAGTACCTTAAATCTCTGCAAACATCCAATTTTTTCACAAACTTCAGCCTCTATTGACAACAACTCATTCTTCTGTTTCCCATTTTCTTTTCTAAGTTGTCGCTCCATTTCTACCAAAGTCGTATATTGCCTTATGAGTGATTTTTCATTTACTTGCAAAACAGTCATTTTTCTACTATTTTCTGAAAGTATTTTTTTCATTTCATCTGAATCCATCTGAAGAGCACTGAGCAAATTCTGCACAAAGACATGTAGATATTACTTATTGAATCTAGCTATCTTAGTTTGTACAATAATGTATACTGATTTTAAGTGTTTTACTTACATTATATTCTTTTACTTTTATAGCATCTTGTTGGATTTGATCCTCAAGCTTTCTCTTTTCCTCTTTTATTGTATCAGATTCCGTTTTCCAGGTTTTCTTTTCACTAAAAAAAAAAAAAAAAAAAAAGAAAGACAACATAATAAACCTAACAAAATGTTTTATAGGAAGAGATAACTTTAGATTATAGAAATTTAAAGTTTTCTTAAAAGAAGAGACATCATAGCTACTCAATATCTGATAACACAAGAAGTTAAAATTTCATTCACATAGGGTTCAGCCTGAAATTTTAAAAAAATAAACGCAAGATAACAAAGTTATCAAACTATTTTCATTCTTCCCTGATTCATCACTCTAAAAGGATTACAACATAATAATTGAAGCAGAATCTTATAAACATTTTTTTGAAAATAGAGAAGGACTAAGAAAATCATCAATACCTCAAATGAATTCTAGATATCAAGTCTCAACATTCTGATCCTACTCTTAAATTTGAGTGGTATTTACAAAATATTTAAGAGACAAACAATATTTGAAATCATTAGGCTTAAAAGAAGATAAAGGACACAAAATTTCAGTTAGCCAGGAGAAGTAAGTTCAAGAGATCTAGTGTACATCATAGTGTCTAGAGTTAATAATAATACATTGTATACCTGCAAACTGCTAAGAGTCAATTTTAAGTGTTTTCAGCACAAAAAAAAAAATAAGCATGTGAAGTAATACATAAGTTAAATAGTTTGATTTAACCACTCCACAATATATACATACATAAAACACCACGTTGTACACCATAAATATATATAATTTTACCCCATCAATTAAAAAAGTAACTCAAAAATGTTAATTAATTTTTTAAAAAGGCGTGTAAGACACTATCGCCTACACAAGTCACATATCATAATTGTCTGTAATCTGCCTGGCATAAACCAATTACGATGGCATTATTCTCTTTGTCACGGAATGGTTCAGAATTAGACATGCGACCTAATTCTAGCTCATAAGATCTGAGTTAAAGTCAGCCAAACACCTCTGGAAAAAATGTTTAAAAATAAAGGCTGGATATGGTGGCTCATGCCTGTAATCCTACCACTCTGGAAGGGCGAGCGAGGCTGTGAGCTAGGCTGATGCCACAGCACTCTAGCCCAGGCAACAGAGCGACACTCTGTAATTAATAAATAAATAGATAGATAAATAAATAGATAAATAGATAGATAGATAAATAAATAGATAGGTAGATAATAGCCAAGTACGGTGGCTCACACCTGTAATCCTAGCACTCTGGGAGGCTGAGGTAGGAAGATTGCTTGAGCTCAGGAGTTCAAGACCAGCCTGAGCAAGAGCAAGACCCCATCTCTACAAAAAATAGAAAAATTAGTTGGGTGTCTTGGTGAACACCTGTAGTCCCAGCTACTTCAGAGGCTGAGGCAGGAAGATGGCTTGAGCCAGGAGTTTGAGGTTGCAGTGAGCTATGATGATGCCACTGCACTCTACATGGGGTGACAGAGTGAGGCACCATCTCAAAATTAATAAATAAATAAAATTAAATTAAAACAAAAATAAAAAGTCATGTGGAAAAAAATGCTCCTCTTCTACAATGGGCATGGTTCCATCTTCCTTAAACTCATGTAGCTGTTTTGCAATCATTGCAGGCATTAACAACAATCCCTAAATGTAACCTGCCCTACAACTAGCTTTGGGTTTCTTCTTAGGTAAGATGAAAATCATCCTTAGTGTTTAAATTACCTTTGACAATCACCCTTAGTGTTTAAATCACCTTTGATTAGGTATTCTAATTCCTACTAAAGAAATCATTCTATTGATATAGATAAGATGGCAGAGATAAGAAGTATGTTAGTTCCCTCTGAGCATGTAAGATTAATGATGATGATGAATGATGCTAATAACAGCTGACATTTACAAAGTATTTATATGTGCCATGCACTCATCTGAGCATTTTCATGTAATAATTCACCTACATTTCATAATGACTCTATGAAAAAGGTATTTCCAGCACAGAAATTTACAGATAAGGAAACTGAGATACAGACAGGTGAAGCAACTTGTTCAAGGTCTTATAAATAGTAAATGTTAAAGTCTGGATTCAAACCCAGGCAGAATGATTCCAGGACATGGATGGGCTTATAATCATTAAGCTACACTGTCTATCTAAAAACATTTTCTTGACAGCAGCTACCAGAGTAAAAACAAAAGGGGGGGTTGGGGGGTGATGGGGAAAAGAGAAGAGGCAGGAGGGAAGTACAAAACATGTAAATTCTTTTTAAGTTACTTTCACTATGAACAATAATATACTGCAATTATATTTATAAACTTTTGCTAATACCTATACCTTAGATATTCTTTATATAACAAGCTTTGTTGATGACGAATTACGGCAAATTTTCGGTTATAGCTTTCAAGAGAATCTTCTAAATTCTTTAACTTCTTTTCTTTATTTTCTAGTTCCTAAAAATTGGTTTAGAAATAAGAAAGAAAAAAAGCTTCACAATATATTTTGAATTAGAAAGTATAAACTCATATTCTCACAAGATTTTAGAAAAATATATAAAAGAGAAAAAAAAGTCATCAAACCTGTAAGTAGCACAGATCATTTCTAGATATTTTGGATAACATTTTTAGTTTAAGGCACACGGAATGAGTAATTTGCAAAAAAGACGTAATTTACAACAGGTAAAATTATTTTTATATGATAGTTATAGTAAGCATACAAATTGCCAGATACAATAGTTACTATAAGCATGGATTTTTTTATCAGAATAGTTACAAACTCACCTCCAGTCACTCAGCTATACACCCTTTTGTGAACATATACTTTCATACCCCCACTTAAATTATCCTTTCAAATTACTTCATTTTAAAAATGAAATTGAAACTTAAAAAGATTAAGTAACTTACTCATCATCAAAAACCCATTAGCACTACAGTTGGCAACCATTTAACAGGCACATAAGCCAGGCTTGGTGCCAAATACTTTCCATATAGGCAGATCCAACATTTGAGGTCGAGTCTATCTAACTCCAAAGGTCTTGCCACGTCCATCACTCTATACTGCTTTAGGTTTGAGAGACTAAGTACCTGTTTTAACACTTTGGACAGGTTTTCAAACTCTCATTAGCTGCTCTCTAATCCACTACAATGGTTCTCATGTTTTTTTAATAAAGATGAAAAAACATGAATCTTATCTCAAACAATATGACAATGTCTACTGTCATTACTTGCTGATAGTGTCCCTACATTTCAGAAGAATAAGAGAAATCATAAAGAATGCTAAAATTATACATTTAAAAATAATGATATAACATGAATTATAAAGTAATATTCTAGTAAGTAGTTAAGGTGGCCCCTCACTTAGATAACAAACTCCAGTATCTAGAGAAAGATTAATGTAATTTCCAAATACAAAAATAGGTATTTGATATCATAACTCAACTATTTTCACCAATGGATCATCCAGCAGAAGGAAAGAGGGGCACTTATCATCAAAAACATATTTTCATTGATTCTGAATTACATTTTTGTAATTTTATTTGTAGTGTATGTGATGTTATGAATATTTAAACTTCAAATCAAATAATAAAAAGCATCTCTCATTAAGCGATTTATAATGACCATGATATAGACAGCCAAAATAAGAAACAAAAGCAACACAAGCAGTATAGTATAGTATTCTTTCTTATTGGCTGATGGATTAACTAACACCTTGTAGGTTAAAGGGAAGAAAAAAGACAATTTGGCTTGACGATTTTTTCTGTGGTTAACACAAAAAAGGGAAAAATTCTGATCATAAATCTAAAAAACTTTGTCAGACTTTATTCTCTTGAATTGTTTTCCAAACAGCAGTAAATAAAAGTGCTCATCTTATTTACACATCACTACTTTATAGTAGTTGCTGCTTGTTCTACATGCCAATCATACATTTCATATGAACGACATGCATGTGAACAAGATGTATGAACATCTTTATGTATGAACATGCTTCTCATGCACATGAATGGAATGGAGTAAATTGCTCTTATTTATCATATTCCATATAACATCAAAATCCACTAATAATAGATCTCACTATTATTATTCTGAAACCTCAAAGGAATACATGCAGACTAAATTAAGAAACATACTATCAGTGATTTTTGTTATTCATATGTGAAATTTTCAGTACCTGTAAGAGACGTATTAAGTATTCATTCTGAGAATTAATAATATTGGCACTAGATGGTGCTATCTCATCAGGTAAATCAACTCCTTTAAACACAACATTTGATCCTTCTGATTGTCGTAAAAGACTGGTTTCTTTTTCAAGATGATCTATCTGGAAATAAACAATCCAGCAATGAGAATCACATCTATTACACTCAAAGAAAGACAAATTGAAAAGCAGTAACTTATACTTCATGTTTTTTCTACTTACTACTTTTTAAAAATAGATATGTGAATGCCCTGCCAGTAATTAATTAAACCATACTTTAATTTCTACTTAGAAATGCCTAGGTATAAGACTTAGAATTTTTGTGTTATTTTTTATGTTATAAGGCACTTATTTTTCCACTTAATTTTATAAGAAAAAATCCAAACAGTTTTCCTAATGTTGAAAAAATTCAAGAGGTATTTTATCATAAAGCAGTATTAAAAAAAAAATGCAATCCCTATCAAAATCCCATTATCATTCTTCACAGATCTGGAAAAAATAATTCTACGCTTTGTATGGAACCAGAAAAGACCTCGTATAGCCAAAGCAATCTTAAGTAAAAAGAACAAACTGGGAGGTATCAGTTTACCAGACTTTAAGC